CCAAGATTTTACCATTAAGTGTATAAGTCCTGCCCTGATGTGCATTTCCAAAATGCAGCATCTCACATTTATCTAAATTAAACTCCATCTGCCACTCCTCAGCCCACCACTCCATCTGATCAAGGTATTCACTGATCCCAATGTATTGTGCTTTCGTCTTTGCTTTCAGTCTGGACAGATTGTAGAGTTTGTCCTCGGACCTGGAATTCTTTGCATATCTGCAGGGTAGTCAAACAGCAGAGGTATGGAGGAGAAAATACCAAATAAAGTAGGAGCTAGGACACAGCTCTGTTTCATTCCTTTCTGTACCCAGAAATTGTCAGAGGTGGTGCCATTGAAATATTCATTACATTGCATGTTGTCCTGGAAGGAATGAACAGGTAATTTCCACAAAATCTTGTAGACTCCCGCTCTGCTGTCAGTGTCAGAAAAGTAAGGTAGATAGGTATATTTTAAAAAATCAGAGACGTTATGACATACCTGTGGAGCAGGAGAGACTTGAATGCTGGGTTCCTCAGGCCAGCAGTAGGGACTACCATGGCAACACAACAGCCCCTTACATCAGTACCTGCTTTAGTGGGGTTTGAACCTACATTCTCACAGCATTAGCTTGGGGGTCTGGATTACTAGCTCAGTGACATTACCAGCGCACCTCTGCCCACATCTTGTTCTCTCCCTCTTCTTAGGCAGTTCTTCAGGACCGAAGATATCTTGCTTCCACGTTGATTTGATGGTTTCTGGACTGGCTGATAAGTTAGACTGCCACATGCAGGATAGATGGTGCTTGAAAGTTCAGGTGGATTAGTTCTTTGGAGGCTCATGAGCCCTCTCCAATACCTCAACTTTGCCTCTGCTTGCTACCAACGAAGTCTCACTCCCCACTATTCCCCAAAGGGAAGAAGAGTGTCTGTGTGATGATATGTTTAAAAAGAAACAGTCGACTGCATTTCTCAAATGGTCCGGCAGGCAACTGATCCTACATTTATCTTTTTGTCAGTGCATGGAGATCATGTCCATGGTACCTCTGGTAGTACAGATACCATATCTTCTTCTGTATATACCCCATCCAGAGGCAGATGTGTGTGTGCTTCCGTATATACCCCATCTAGAAGTAAATGTATCTTTTAAGCATGATCCTAGGTAAAGTCTTCCCAGTGATGCAAAGAAATGGGCTATGCCCAGCATATGTTCCAATCTCCTTTGGTTTTTTGTACATTGAATGGATTCTACCTACCATTGAAGTAAGAGGTCTGGAAAGCATCACAGTAGATGTGACTTAGATAAACTTCAGCAGTTCGGTTGGGATTTCATCCTTGATGAGGAGCGGTGGGTGGCGGGGAACGGGGACAGGTGTGTCCTCCTGCTTTGTCAGCAGTCAGTGGCCTTTTCAAGCTCAAAAGGTGACAGTTCTTTGCCTAACTTAAGCATGACAGGAACCACAAAAATGCAAATGTATGTTACGAGGCATCAGAATTCTCTTACTTGCTATGCAGCACTGTTAAAAGAAAAAAGAAAACCATTGGGTACAAAGTCTATTTCTTTTCTCCATCTCTCTGTGGATATTGACTGTCTAATACACAGTTTCCCACAGTGACCTGACTGCAACCATGTACTCAAAATGTGAGTAATCCTGGGCACAAATCTAGATCCATTCACTTTGCTACTATAGCATTCAGGAGAAAAATCTTTCAGTAGCATTTTGGTTGGGATTGTGGCGCCTGACAGGAGTTTCATGAGTAGTTGCTGTATTTGCCACGTATCTGCTTTTACACAGGTTGTCAGAGGCAGTACTAAAGCAAAGCTCTTCTCAAACGATGAGATGGAAGATGAAAAATGTTCAAAAGAGGAACCAAAAATGACTAGAACCAAACCAGAAATCTGAGTTACAATTTGAAACTCAATTCTGGACGTTTTGGTTTGACATGCATCAGGTCAGTCATGGGGAATGGGCATATCTTGGTCAGATCAGGGAAGGGAAGATTTGTGGAAAGTACATAAGTACATTGTTTGTGTCAAAGGGTTGAATCTCTGGCACCTGCCTGCCCCACAGGTCGGGGGTCTAGTAGAGTTCAACAGTTATGAAAAGCAGAATGGAATGCTTAGCAGCCTCCAGAAAATTGCACTTTGTTCCTTTCTAAGGGTGCCAGACATTCACCCTCCAATTTCTTGCCTATTTGAAGGGACAGGTCATAGTCAAAGCCATGACTCCTAATTAGTCTCTACTTCCACCTAGTCTAAAGACTGATCTCCCTGATTTCCTTGAATGACCAAGTATCTGAGAGGCTAATATGTGCAAATGTATGGAATCCACAGCACTGACTGACTCCCTCTCCATTTCATTTGCTTGGAGATTCTGTGCTTACAAGATCCCAAAGGACTTCCCAGTATAAGTTGTAACCAAGAATACCCATTAACCATAACATTTCACCTTGCTAGAGTTACAGCTAGATTTTTGGACTTTAATATACCAGCCCTAGCATCTGGAAAAACTCAGCAAGCCTGGTAGCATCAGTGGATAGAAATCAGAGTTAACATTTCGGGTCCAATGACCCTTCTTCGGAACTGATGGTAGCTAGGAAAAAATTGGCTTTTTCAGAAGATAGGGTACAGGGGAAAGAGGGTAAGGAGTAAATGATAGGTGGAGATGGAGCCCAAAAAAATAAGAACAGTTGGACAGACAAATGAATGGATAATGATCAGCCGAAGAGAATGAATAGCTGCTAATGGGGACTATTAGCAGCTAACAATGAATTGTATGTAATATGAGATAATGGGGCCTGGTGTGTGGGGATTGGGGTAAGGACATGGGAGAAGGTGGACTAAGCCCAAAAACTGTTGAACAAAGATTGAATCCGGAAGGCTGTTGAGTTCCCAAGCAGAAAGATTTAGTAGCTATTCATTTTCCCAGGCTGCTCTTTATCTGCACCTTTGTCCAACTGTTCTTCTCTCTCTCTGGGGTCTATCTCCACCTATTGTTTACTCCTTACCCCCTCCTAATCACCCTATCTTCTGCATAAAAAAAAACAACTTTTTCCTAGCTGCCATCAGTTCTGACGATGGGTTACTGGACCCAAAATGTTAGCTCTGATTTCTCTCTACAGATGCTGCCAGATCTGCAGAGCTTTTCCAGCAATTTCCGTTTCTGTTTCTGTTTTTATTTAACCCTAGCATTGAATGGCCTGCCATGTTATTCAAATGAAATATTTACTTATTTACATTAGATCTCCAAAAGGTATTTTTAAACTGAGACAGCGAATTTATTACTTTTTTAACATTGTGCGCTAGAATACATCGTGATTTTTATCCTTACATGATATGACGATCAACTGAACTGAAAAACAGCATTCAAAACAAATGAAGCCAGAAATTAGCCAGGAATGTGATGTGCAAACAGCACAATGTAGGTAAAATTATAATGTATATGACATCAATGTCAAAGCAGTAAACACACAACATTGGATTATGCCCTCTGCTCCTTCATCACAATATAGCGTTGTCCCTCTATGTTAGCAGTTACTTACTAAGATATAGCCTGTCTCATTTATGAGCCAACACATCATAGAAGGTCACATATATAGCAACACAGCTACAAAAACTCCTTAGACAGAAAAATCGTCATGCTCACAAAAAAACCCACAAAATCATCAAAGCCTTAGGTGTGAAGTTTAGCCAGTGTCAAAATATTTGCAATGCAAATATTTTTAGGTTAACAGTACTTGCTGTATAAACTGTTGATTTCAAGCTGACTAAAGGTGATGGCAGGAATACCTATAGATAATGCCCATACTGTTCCTCTTTGAGATTTAGAATTCAGGTCAGGTTGGTGCATGAAATGGCAAACAGAAGCATATAAGTGTAGTGGCATTATCTGATGGCCCATATAACAAAACTGCTTTACAAAGTTTGTATCTTTTATTCTACAAGCTTCCTTATCACTGCAATGTCATGAAGACAAGACAAGATGCACAACAGATTTCCAGTTAGAGGGACGAAAGGGGAAATCAGACTGCAAGGCAACTTTTCAGATTTCCTGGCAGCTGGTTACCAGGAAGAACTGGCAGACAAATCAGATCAGGTCCCCCTTTTAGGACAGTCTAGGACCAGAAGCAAAATCTCAGATGAAGAGGTCTCACATTTAACATAGCGATGAGGAGGAATTTCTTCTCTCAGAGCTGCGAATAGGTGAAATTCTTTGCAACAGAGGGTGTTGAGGCTGAGATAGATTTTTAATCAGTAAGGGAATCAAGGGAAATGGGGGAAAAAGCAGGAAAATGGAGTTGAGGATTATCAGATCAGCCATAATCACACTGAATGGTGGAGCAGACTCAGCGGGCTGAATGGCCTACTTCTGCTCCTACTTCTCATGGCCTTGGCCTACGACCTATGTTGTAGAGAAGGAAGAGTGATGAAACAAATCCATAAAAAAATTCTTTAATTACGTAAGATAAAGAGAGGGGAAAATAATAAACAATGCACAGAAAATGAAGAAGCAAAGATGCTAGTATACAAAATAATGGGGTGTTGCAAATGGGTGCAGCATATACAGAATCTCAGATATAACACAGTATGGAGCTGGAAGAACACAGCAGGCCAGGCAGCATCAGAGGAGCAGGAATGTTGACGTTTCGGGTCAGACGTTTCTAAAGAAGGGTCCCGACCCGAAACGTCAACTTTCCTGCTCCTCTGATGCTGCCTGGCCTGCTGTGTTCTTCAAGCTCCATAATGTATTATCTCCAACTCCAGCATCTGCAGTTCTTGTATATCCATATACAGAACCTCAGCTGTGCTAGGGGATAAGCAAGAAAGGCAGTCCAGGCACTGGTCTAGAGAGAAAGAAGATAAATTAGAGAAAACAAATCATGCAAGGGTAATCTTTTATATATCTCAATGGCTGTTTCAGAAGTACTGTTATCAGAATCCTGGAACTGGTCATCTACCCAAAATTTAGATCACAGTGTATTCTACAGGGCACAAATAATCAGATAACATGAATACAGTACCTGCAGTGGTCCAAGGATGGAACTAGTCGTGTACATAAAGAAAAGCCGTAAGTAACTGAGAATGTTGCCAAAAGCAAACAGACCCTCTGCCACTAAAGTGGGATGGAAAGCATCCCAATCCTTCCTGTCTCCAATCGCATGGAACTAGAGAGACATTGGAAAAATTCAGTTTGTACAAGAAATAATGTGACTTAGAGATTACATTTACTTTTCAAAAGTAAACATGCAATTGCTAATCCAAAAATATAACCATTATGCAACCGTAGCCAATACACTCTCCTAGCTCATTTATGAATTTAACTATGATATTGTGTCTCATGCTCAATGTCACAATTTCAACTATAGCCCAAGCAACCACCTAATGTTTGAATGCTTCTGTAGAAGCTTGGGCAGCTGTGTTGTAGCAATAAGTAAAGGGACTTATGGTTGTTGCATTTTCAGAAACCACTGTCACCAGCGCATGGTGTTCTGGTTTCAGTAATGTGGCCACAAATCCTCCTTTCACTTTGCTGAGTTGGACCCTGACCAGTTATCAGTATTAGTGGTGAGTCTAAGTAGAAGAGGCACTTGTCATACAGAACAAGGTACTTTTATTACAAGAAAGAATGGGGAGCATTTGCATTAACAAGCTAGGCATAATTATCAAGGAGTCTTGGGAGCTATACAGGATATTTATGCTCCCTTGGGTACTCAGACAGTATTCTACAGTCTCCATTTAAAGATTGTGTGACATGATCAGATTGGGGGGAGTGCAATGTAACATGAATATTAACCAACTCTTTCAGAGCAATCATCATACACAATATCTCCCCCAAGCTTTATGCCCACCCCACTCCACCACCTCCCCCCTCCCCCATATTCATAATTATACTTTCAATGGAGTTCAATGTAAGCAAGAGTGAGGCTATCCATTTTGGGCCAACAAAGAATAAATCAGGGTACTTTCTGGGATAGTATGAAGTTAAGTACAATGAATGTTCGAACAGATTTGAGGGTTTAGGTGCACAGATGGAAAAATGGCACAAACAGTTGCAGAAAATAATCAAGAAAACCAATGGGAATGTTGGTCTTTATATCTAAAGACTGCTGTGTAAGGATGGAGAAGTTATGCTGCAGTTATACAAAACCCCGAGTATAATAAGCAAATCTGGACACCACACCGTAGAAAGGTTGGATTGACCTTGGAGGGGGTAAAATGTAAGTTTACGAGAATGATTACTGGACTTCAGGGGCTAAGGTGTGAGGATACATTATATAAATAACAACCGCTTTCTCTAGAATCTTATTGAAGTCTTCAAGATATTAACAGGAAAGGACAGGGTAGTTAAAGATAAAATATTTCTAATGGTAGGAGATTCTAGAACTCAGAGGCATAGTTTAAAACTTAGGGCCAGACAATACCACAGAGAGATTGGGAAGCATTTCCATACACAAAGGGTGGTAGAGGTTTGGAGCTCTCTTCCACAAAAGGCAGTGGAAGCTAGATCAGTTGTTGATTTTAAATCTGAGATGGATACATTTTTGTTAAGTAAAGGTATTAACGGATATGGCCAAAGGCAGATATATGGAGTTAGGCCACAATCAGTCATGATCACAGTGAATGGAGGAACAGGTTCGATGGGCTGAATGGCCTACTCCTGATCCTATATATTACATTTACCACTACCAGGCCCCCCAGAAGTCACTGACTTTACAAATGCAGGAGACTTCACAATTTTCCTAAAAATCACTCTTCAGATGTCGAAGCACAGTAGGTCTTCTCCTGGAGTACTGTGAACCTTGATTCTGACTCTTTTGATCAAGATTCTGCTTTTGGGGGAATCTTTTATCTCTTGGATATTCTTTACAGAGGATGTTGTCCTGGTAGATGTGGTTGTTGGTCCATTATATTAAATGGAGTACCTTTAATCTCCTGAATTCCCTTTGCAAAAGAACACATTTCCCTGTTAACTCAACAATTTGCACCATAGCTTTTAATCTCTTTAATGTACATCATGAGATATAGCTGCTTTGTTGAAACAAGTACTTTTGTTTTTGCAATGTTCTTGGTTTCTGGACCATGTAATTTACTTTTAATTAAAACAGGCAACCTCTTTTCACAGTATCCCAGATCTTCAGACTAGGTAATAGACCGTGGGGTGGCACAGTGGCTCAGTGGCTAGCATTGCTGCCTCACAGCGCCAGGGACCCAGGTTCGATTCCACCCTTGGGCGCCTGTCTGTGTGGAGTTTGCACATTTTCCCCATGTCTGCGTGGGTTCCCTCCAGGTGCTCCGGTTTCCTCCCACAGTCCAAAAATGTGCAAGCTAGGTAGACTGGCCATGGAAAATTGCCCATAGTGTTGAGGGATGTGTAGATTAGGTGGGTTATATGGGAATGGGTCTGGGTGGGATGCTCTGAGAGTCAGTGTGGACTTGTTGGGCCAAAGGGCCTGTTTCCACGCTGTAGGGATTCTATGAGAAAAAAAAACTTATTTTTGATGAAGTCCTGAATCTGTGGAAACTGGTTTGGATTCCATGGAGTCGTATGCAGCTCATCTCCACTTTGTTCAAGCAAATTTTTTACTCTAAATCTCCAGATACATATGGGTTGAAGTAAATAAGGTTTTTCCTTCAGCTTAATTCAGTTGGATATCTTCAGTCACCTTCTGTAGTTGTTTGACAGGCAAACTAAACTTATTCGCACCTTTTGCAGTGTCACTGCAAGCCTGCTGTTCATCCATCACTGACTTTGTCACTTGCATTGATTGCTCCATTTTAGAAGACAGAGGATTGAACATTTCCACCAGTCCTGTAAAGTCTGTGACTTCTTTCCTGTTGACTGTATGGAACCATTCTCTTATGTCCTTATAGGTAATCTTATTAGATTCTTTCTTCAGTTTAGGTTCTTCCATGAGTACAGGAGGTACAATGAAGTCTTGGACTGTCTGCTCCTTGTCTGGTTGCTAAACAGTTGGTTTCTGAAGCAGTTGTTCTCTTAACTCTTGTTGAATTACTGCAAGGATGCTGAGGATTGGGCACACATTTTCAACTCTTGTACACTTTGGGTTGTAGTGCTACTTGTAGCATATCTTTAATCTTAGCAGTTGTTTCACCTGGACCATAAAGTTCTATTGCTGTAAGCTGTACTCTTTACTTCTTCAGCCATGGTATCTGATTTCACAGTCGTTCCAGTATTAAGGTTTAAATTGACAAGATATTCATTGACATAAATAAGCTCCATGAAAGGCAAGTTGATTAAATTAATACTTTCGTTCAAAACAGCAATTTCTCTGAGGAGTACCTCTGGCATCTTTTCTAATGGAGGTATATCATCTAATGCAAGCACCTTTGTTTTTAAAATAGCAGTGGGTGCTCTACTGTACATACATGTGGTGTGACCAGTGTTTCTGCTGTTCTGAAACTGTCTTACTTCTGTGTAATTTCTGGAAGCCATCTAAAGTTTTATAGACACAGCATTCCTTTCTCATGGCTGGGCATTGTTTGTGCATGTGTCACCCTTCTGTCTCACAGAGCTGACAGTGACTCTTAGAATCTGCTGTTTGGCTTACTCTTCGCATCTTAGCATCTGTTGTTTGTCACATGCATCTTTAGAGTATTTATACTTTATAAAATGAACGGACACTGTTGCTCTCCTGTGGTAAAGTTATTCTTCTCTCAGGATCTCAGATCTGAATTTTTCAGTTCTGTTTCCAGCATTATTTGAATAGCCTACTTTTTTCTTGCTTTAGTCATTCACAGGATGAGGACGTCACTGGCTAGGCAGCATTTATTGCCCATCCCTAATTGCCCAGAGGGCAGTTAAGAGTCAACCACATTGCTGTGGGTCTGGAGTCACATGTAGGCCAGACCAGGTAGGGATGGCAGTTTCCTTCCCTAAAGGACATTAGTGAACCAGATGGGTTTTACCGACAATCGGAGTTCATGGTCATCATTAGATTCTTAATTCCAGATATTTTTTGAATTCAAATTCCACCGTCTGCTGTGGCGGGATTCGAACCTACGTCCCCAGAACATTATCTGGGTCTCTGGATTAACAGTCCAGCGATAATACCACTAGAACATCACCTTCCCGTACTCCAAAGTTAAATCTACCATTGACTGTACGAAGTCAAAGTTTCATTAAGCTTTTCAACAAATCTGTCTCATATATTCTCATTTTGAAGTTCATTATCATTATTTTCCACTAATCTCTAGATGCTTTTTATCAAATTTCTCCTGGAAGTTGAACACTTCTGTTAAATCTTGTTCATTTAATAATGCTATTTGCTCTTGGATTGAAGCAATTATCAAAAGCTTTCAGGACGTTGTCAAAAATATGTGTTCTTTTTAGTGTTCTAGCAATTAATAACATCATCTGCTATAGGATCTACTGAACACAATATGACATTAACTTGTTTCAACTTCGGGCATAGTGTTTGAGGCAACTCTGTACCTTAAGAACTATCTCCTCCAAGATGCCCAATTTTACAAGTTCTGAAGAAGGGTCACTGGACCCAAATCGTTAACTCTGCTTTTTCTCCACAGATACTAACAGACCTGCCGAAGTTCGCCAGCACCTTTTGTTTTCGTATCCCATTTATGTTCTTTCTGGTTCATCTCTGATTTTGATTCTTTGTGGAAGTCGTATTTCTCCTTTTTCTCCCCCCGCAGTGCACTTGGAAGTTCTTATTACAATGAAGTGGTTTTAAACTGCAGTGTTTTAATACTGCTTGTAATCTGCTGTTCTCTGAGACTAAATGATTGTGTTTAATCAATGCTGTCATTGTAAACATTGCTAGGCACTGTATTACAGTAGTGTAGTAGTTTGTCCACTCATCTCCCAACTACTCTACTGCAGTTAAAGCATACCAAATTCTTCAACAAACCTCTAAAAATTTTGTTAAATGATGTTTTGTAGTAATTTACTGCTTCCAAGCTTCTAAATTCTGTTTCATTGTAATACTCACTCTAATGTTCACTGTGTTTTCCCACGTTCTGTAGCCAAGATGCAGATTTCCCATTTCCTTAGGGGCAAAATGAATGCTTTCCTGCCTTTCACAAACCAAAGCACAATGCACTTTCTTCAGCATTTTTTTAAAGTTTCTAGCTGGAGCCTTTATAAATCTTCCTGCCGAAATTGTGGTTTAATCACGGAGTCCCAGTTCTTCCAAAACTAAAGTTGCTTCTGACAGCCTCTTCTGCCTTAACCTTTCTTCAAATTTCTCTAAATCCACTCTTTTCTGGCTGAAATAAAATTCTGAGGTATTCCAGATAGTGTAGCCCTAGTATAAATTACTTTTCTGCCCGTTCCAAGCCTTGACAAGTCTTCTCACAATGATAGCAATGATTGCACTTCAGATGTGAGAAGTGCATTTTTTAAAGAATTCCTTTGCTTTCGCATTCTGGTCTTCGTACTGTTTTTGTAAAGACCGCCCTCCTTTCAGGGATTTGTAATGTTGGTTGTGGTGCCTTCCTCACTTCCTATAGATCCCTCTAGGGTTATGGGGAACGAGCAGGAAATTGGAGCTGAGGTGGAGATGAAATCAGCCATGATTGTATTAAATGGTGGAGCAGGCTTGAGCAGCTGAACTGCCTACACCTGCTTCTATTTTTATGTTCCCCTTTACAAAGGCCTCTGTCTTTTTCTCAGTGTGGCTGGCATTTTCTCTTACCCTAGCCAACTCAAATATCTTACCCCTCTTACCAATTTCTTGGTGAAGATTTGTCAATGGAATGCTGAGTTCTCTTGTTGCTGCTGACTATTGGTTTTATGTTTCAGCTGATTGTGCATTCTTAAAGAAGGAACATTCTTAAAGTGGTAATTCAACTTTCTTCAAAAATCTCTCTCTTCTTTCTTCAGAGTCAAATGGATTAAACCTAAGCTGCCTACCATGTTGTGCTTACAATGTCTTATTTTCAGACACCACTTCCACCAGCGTATGGTATTCTGGTTTTGATATAGTAGTGAGCAGTGAGCTTGATTTAAGTGGTAACCTAGCTGTTTATGAGCATTTGTTAAATAGTGATCATAGTAGCGCTTGTAAGAGACAAGCAAAGATCGGATACTAGACTTTTGGATTTAAGTAAGGAAAGCCTAAATGGTATGAGGCAGAGATTGTCCATAGCAAACCAGGAAGCTCTGCTAATTGGTAAAGCAACCAAGAAACAGTGGAGAATGTTCAAAGAAACATTTGATGCTACTCAGAAGCAGTTTGTATCCATCAGAAGGAAAAGTTCCATCTCACAAAAAGCACAGCCATGGACATTTGAGGTGGTAAGGGACAGCATAAGATTAAAAGAAAAGGCTTACACACATGCGAAGAATAGTACAGATTCCACAGAAAGGGACAAACATGAAGAGTAATAAAGGGCCACAAGGCAAGACTGGCTAAAAAGGATTATGAAAGGAAACTTGAAAGGGATATAAAAGACAATGAGAGATTTTATAGTTATATGAAGGAAAAGTGATTGTTAAGAGTACTACTGGCCCACTGAAAGCTGAGAGTGGGGGTATTATCAATGATCATGGGGAAATGGCAGACATGCTGAACAATTATTTTGCCTCAGTATTCACAGCAGAAATGGAAGATAGTTTGCTGCAAGTGCCAAAGAAATTGACACAGGATCGAAGCAGGGTCCAAATAAAATTAGCTGAAGTAAATCATTAACAGCGGGAAAGCTAATGGAAGCAAGAGTGACAAATCCCCAGGACCTGATGGTTTCCACCCACAGATATTAAAAGGAGATAGGAGAGCACATTAAAAGATTATGGTCATGGCATCACCAAAGGTCCCTGCATTCAGGAGTTGTTCCTCTGGATTGGAAATGTGCTCATGTCACTCCGTTCTTTAAGAGGTATGACGTAAGGAAACCGGGAATTACAGACCAGTTGGCCTGGCATCTGTGGCCAGGAAGTTGTTGAAGCCTATAATCAAGGACAGGGTAACTGATCATCGGAAAAATTTCAGCCAATCAGGGAGTCAGCATGGATTCAGGAAGGGTAGGGCATTTTTGAAGAGGTGACAAAAGTAAGTTGATGGATGCTATTTGTATGGACTTCCAGCAGGCTTCTGACAAAGTTCCACACAAGAGACTGTTAGCTAAGGTGCAAGTCCAAAGAATTGATGGCAAATTACTGACATGAATAGGAAATTGGTTGAGGTGGCAGGAAACAGAGTTGGAATAATGGGTAAGCACTCAAATTGGCAAGATGTGACTAGTGGTATCCCACAGGGGCTTCAATTATTCAAAGTATTTTCAAACAACTTGGATAATGGCATAAAAAGTCAAATATCCAAATTTGCTGACAACACAAAATTGGGCAGCATCATAGACAGTGTTGATGACAGCACAAAATAGGATACTGATGGATTAGATGAATGGGTGACGCTGTGACAGATGGAAGTGTAGGCTCAAGGGATTGAATGGCCTACCCCTGTTCCAATGTTTCTACGTTTTCAATTCTCCTTTCCTCCATGTGGACTCTCAGCCCTGTCTAGTTATCAGTGGTACATAATTGACCCCTGGTGAGTTTAAACACAAGACATGTCTCGCAATAAGCTGCTCTGTTATGTATAATGGCAATCCATAGAATTAATATTAACTTCCTAGATATAATTATTAAGGACTCTCGGGAGCTGTGCAGAATACATCTGCTCCCTCCATTACTCACGCAAGGCTCAACTGTCTCACCCAAAGACTGGGTGACAAGTGAAGCACAACATAACATTAACTTTAATTCCTTCAGAACCATTATCTTGTGCAGCCACAGGTTCTCAGGGCATTTCAGTGAACTGTTTTCGACAGGTTCCCAAGATTGCCGAACCACTGTCCTGGGCAAATGGTGATGGCTTTGCAAAGCACAGATCTGCATAACCTCTTTCTCTAGAAGACAGCATTCTGTCCTCCACAGAGCTGTCTCCCCATTAGTGCCCCTGCTGGTGCCTGTCGTCAGCCCCTGGTGGTAGAAATTGTACTTAAACCTCTGGGTCTAGAGCTGCTCGAGGTATCCCTGCAAGACCATGTGTAGTCTCCCCTGGTAAAAGTCAGCTCAAACTTCCCCAAAGAAAATGCAAAATTCTGTGATGCTGGAAACCGCAACCAAACACAGAGAGAGCCAAAGAAACTCAGCAAGTCTGGCAGCATCTGTGGGAGAGAAACAGAGTCCTCTGAATTAGAATAGGATAGAATCCCTGCAGTGTGGAAAGAGACCACTTGGCCTATCAAGTCTTCACTGATCCCCTCAACAGTATCCCTACCAGACCCAGCACCCCACCAACCCTATCCCACATTTAGCAATGTCAGTCCAATCAACCTGCACATCTCTGGACTTTGGATAAGGGAGGAGACTGGTGCACCCAGCAGAAACTCATGTAGACACAGGGAGAACATGCCAACTCCACACAGACAGACACCCAAGACCAGAATTGAACTTGGGTCCCTGGCGCTGAGAAGCAAAGTGCCGACCAATGTGCCACCATGCTGCCCCAAGGAAAATAAACACCCCAGACGTGAACTACCATTGTTACCTGTACAACTGCAGAAGAAAAGTCCTGCATTTGTCCAGAGGGGGAGCCAAAGTCTAAAGGAAAACCATCCTTGCATTTTCTGCACAATCTCCACTGGGAGCATTGTGCAGCATTAGTAACAAGATCATGTGCTGATTGTTGAGTCAATGAAGTGTGTAATGAGAAAAGTGGCAGGGAACGGTTGAAGAAAAGGTCAAAGCAAGATACTTAAAAAGTGGGGGTAATAACATAATAAGAATTATTCACTGGAATTCTCATAAAGTGAATCAAAAATCTGTCTAGGCCATTCTGGGAAACTCTGAGCATTCTTTCCAACAAGACAAAGGATAACTGAAGGACAGATCAATTCAAATTACTACCACATTCTATCTTATAGCTGGATTCGCAATAGTTTTGGCTGAATGCCCACGATCAGGTCCCTCACTGAACAGAAAATGAGAGTGTTCAATGAAAAATAAATTCAAAACCGATATTGAAGTATAATGTTTCCTCTTGTCTATCAATAGATAGGACATTTAGACTATTTAACACTTCTAATGGACAGTGATCTTGCACAGATAACTTCATAATCAGGTTCTCGTCTATTTATTTAACTTTTGCAACATCTCCTTTCACTCAATGAGTAAGCAGTCTTCACATCCAAATAGAACCAGACTCACCCTTCTCCCTTGTTTACCTTATTATGGGCCACAACTTTGAGAGCAAATGTTGCTAAATACAATGAGTTCATGACAAAACTGAGTTGATTTCGAGATTCCTCCATAAAATCTTCAAGTCCATCATACCACAGTCGTTTCACATCTGACCACACCATTCCTAGAGACAAATTGTACATAAGCACATTCCAGAGGAGAAATGATACATTCAAACCAGAGCCAACAACGTCTGGGTTTACAAACTGCATGCAGAGAATAATGACTACGTTTCTCAGTGTTAAGACAGACTACTGGCAAATGTTACTATCACTGCAATGCAACATTTCTCATTTTTAAAAACTGCATTATATTAACTAAAACAAATACTCAAAGCAAAGATAATGTTATTGAAATAGTAAAGAAGTCTGGATTACTTATTCTTTAGGGTTTTGCAAATTAGATAGCATTCAATTTGGAATTAAAACTGAAAATAACTTTTTCTTCTAATCAACCTGTTCAGAGATGTTATTACACATCTCTGGAGCAGGTGGGACTTGAACCTAGGCCTCCACAGTCCAGGGGTAGGGACACTATTGTCAGAAAAACCCACCTCGTTCACAAATGTCCTTTAGGGAAGGAAACTGCCATCCTTATCTGGTCTGGCCTACATATGACTCCAGACCCACAGCAATGTGGTTAACTTTGAACTGCCCTCTGGGCAATTAGGGATGGGCAATAAATGCTGGCCTAGCCAGAGACGCTCTCATCCCGTGAATGAATAAAGAAAAAAAAACCTATCTGTGCCACAAGACAGCCCCTTACATCTATGGATAATATCTTATTCACTGATAGAGTAATACTAATCTGCTGAATATTCTAATTTTATATTTACATAGCACATTTAGGTGTACAGATTAATACTATCTTCCTAAAAAAAAAAGCACACTACTGCTGGAAATGATGCTGGAAATCTGAAAATAAAATCAGCAGTCCTTGAAAAATCAGTAGATCTAGTTATAACTGAGGAGAGAAAAAAAGTTCACATTTCGAGTCCAGTATGACTCTTCTTTGGAAGGCTACTTTTCTGTTTTGTTCAACCTCCAGAAACGCTTCAGTCCTGCCCCACTCAAAACAACTGATTTTAAGAGTATCCACACCATTTTGAAACTGAACTCCATATTCTCAAACTTCCACCCACATGATTTTTTTCACTTACCAATCCTTGCCTGACCGAGCACCATCGGCAATCAAGTGGTAGCTCCAATATTATGCTTCTTACTTTCTAAGTCTTCTTAAGAACAATCTCGTCTGGCTCTACTCTTAGGTTCTCTTAAACATTCTCCCTTTATGTTCTCCCTGTACGAAGTTTCTCTTTCCACGTCAAGTACTTTTAGATAGACATTCTTTTATATGAAGAGTATAAAACAAACGTAAACTGAAGACATACCTTCCCTCTCTCTCAGATTCTTGCTAGAGATGCTCTTAACCAGACTCCAGGAGGTGTACTGAAGTCACTCCTGTGAACGGTCCATAGTTAACATCCTCCCTGTACTCCTAGAGAGTTTTTGGTCCTCAACATTATACCTATCCACATCAGCACACCCAAAACATAGGGAGTGAATTAAAACTGTGCCCCTTCAAATGGTTTTGCAATCCATCTAGTCATTCAGTGGTTAGCACTGCTGCCTCACAGTGCCAGGGACCCGGGTTTGATTCCACCCTTGGGTGACTGTCTTTGCACATTCTTCTCATGTCTGTGTGGGTTTCCTCTGGGTGCCTGGTTTCCTCCCACAGTCCAAATATGTGCAGGGTTGGCCATGCTAAATTGCCCATATAGTGTCCAGGGACGTTTAGGTTAGGTGAGTTAGACATGGGGAAATGCAGGGGTAGGGAAATGAGTCAGGGTGGAATTCTCTTTGGAGGCGTGGTGTGGACTTGTTGAGCCAAATGGCGTGTTTCCACACTGTCGGGATTCTATGACCTATGGTTCTATGAAAACAGTGAGTCTGGTTTATATTACCTCCCACCTCTGATTATTTATCACTTTTAATATAAAACTAACAATTTGGAAAAGAAACAAAACTAAGAATCCATTTCTAATCACTGCACTTCATATTGAGATACCTTCTGTATTAACAGCACTTGTTTCGAGGAGAGATAACTGTTCATAAATTCCAAATCTAACGGATCAAATAAGATTTTCAAAATGCTCAATTAAGATCTTCCACAGAGAGGCTAAATTCACATAATAACTAAAGGAGATAGAAACACAGGAACACAGAAAATAACAGCAGGCCATTCAACATGGTCATGGCTGAATCTCTACCTCAACACCACACTGCTGTTCTCTCCCCATACCTCTCCACACCTTTAGCATCTACAAATCAATATCTTTCTTAAATATATTCAGTAACAGACCCCATAATCTTCCGCGGTAGAGAATTCCAAGGGTTCACTATCTTCCGAGTGAAGATATTACTCCTCATCTCAGTCCTAAATGGCCTACCCAATATCCCGAGACCATGACCCCTTATTCTGGAACCATCCGCAACCTCAACCCCACCCAGGAGAAACATGACGCAGAAAGGATATGCACCCCTGCATCCGGCCAGAATTTTGTTTAGGTCCCCCCTCATTCTTCTAAACTCCAGTGAATACCTAAACAGAAGTTGCTGGAAAAGCTCAGCAGGTCTGGCAGCATCTGCGAAGAGAAATCGGTGTTAACATTTCGGGTCCAGTGACCTGAAACTGGACCAGTAACGTTAACTCCAATTTCTCTTCATAGATGCTGCCAGACATGCTGAGCTTTTCCAGCAACTTCTGTTTTTGTTTCTGATTTACAGCATCCGCTGTTCTTTCAGTTTTTATCCAGTGAATACATGTCTGATTAACTCATTCTCCCCTCAAATGACAATACTGCCATCCCCAGACTCAATATGAGAGCCTTCACTGCAGTCCCTCTATGGCAAGTGTATCTCTTCTTAGGTAAGGAGAGCAAAACCACACACAACACACTCTAGGTGTGGTCTCATCAAGGCCCTGTTCAGCTGCAGTAAGACAACTCTGCTCTTGTACTCAAACCCTCTTGTATTAATGGCCAACATTCAAATTGTCCTCCTAAGTGCTTGCTGCATCTGCGTGCTTGCTTTCAGTGTCTGGTGTACAAGCAGACTCAGGTCCCTTTGCATATTAGCCTTTCCCAGTCTGCCATCGGTTTTTCATATTGAAGTGGAAAACTTCACACTTTTCTATTTTATAGTGCATCTGTTAAAAATATCCCATTTGTAAACTTGTCTAAATAGCTCTGAAGCCTCCTTACATCATCCTCACCACTCTCACCAAGACTGTGCCGTCAGCATATTTAGAAATTTTACACTCGGTTCCCTGGTCCAAATACATATTGTGAATAGCTGAAGTCCAAACACTGATCCCTGTGATACGCCAGTCAAAATGACCCGTTTATTACCACTCTACTTCCTGCCTGCAAACCAACTCTCAATCTATGGCAACAAAGAACGGTACAGCACAGGAACAGGCCCTTCAACCCACCAAGCTTACACATGATGCCTTTCTAATCCAAAAACCTTTTGTATCTGTATCCCTCTGTTCCTTGCCTATTCACGTACCTGTCAAGAAACGTTGACATTGTATCCGCCTCCCCCACCTCCTCTGGTAGAGCATTCCAGGTACTTTACCACATTCTGCGTAAAAAAACTTGCCTCTCCCATCTCCTTTTATCTTAAACCTATGTCCCCTAGTAATTGACATTTCTATCCTGAAGAAAAAGACTCAGATTATCCATTCTATCTCGGCTTTTCAACCTTGTAAACTTCCTTTAGGTCACCCCTCAGTTTTGGACATTCAAGTGAAAACAAACCAAGTTCATCCAATCTCTCCTCATAGTTAATCCCTTCCAAACCAGACATCCTATTAAACCATTTCAGAGATACCAGGAACTGCAGATGCTGGAGAATCTGAGATAACAAGGTGTAGAGCTGGATGAACACAGCAGGCCAAGCAGCATCAGAGGAGCAGGAAGGCTGACGTTTCGGGGTCTAGGCCCGAAACGTCAGC